CAATAATTTAGCAGAAGGTAGTTAAAACCCAGAGGTTTGCCAAGCCTGACATAGGTGGAGGGTGGTGCCCAAGGATGCACCAGCTAATCTACAAGAAGCAAATGCTGTGACCTTAACAAGGGTCCCAGGTGGTTTCTAGCTGCATTCTCTAAATAATCCATCTTAGTGATCGTTGCATTTCTAGCATGTGCTATTGAATTAGAGTGAAGCATTAGGTGAAGCTTGAAAAAGCTGGATTTTACTGTGAGATATGGGCAGAAAGCAGAGAGTCCCAGGTAAGGGGTGCATTTTTAAGTCACAGCAAACACTTGCGCATGGAAAGAGTCTGGAGTGCATGGGACAAGAAGACAATTTTGGGCTGCAGGCAGAGTCTTTAAGCTGCATGGCATGGCACTTAATGCTGTGGAACTCAGATTTTATCATCTTAATTAATGGCATTGCCCAGGCCCTTGGGTCTCATTAAGGGCACTTCAGGAGCAGGTGTGTCAAAACATGGAGGGAAGGCAAAGTGACTAGGACTCCCTGTTACAACATCTCTCCTCTATTGCCTCCCTTCACCAAAGAAACTCAGCTTTAATTGGCTTTAAATATCAAGGATTTAAATTTTCTTGGAAAATGAAAGTTAAAAAAAAATTTCCATGAGGTGGTAGTGAAGGCCTACACTTGAAGAACCAGGAGTAATATAACCAGGTTTTTGTGTTAGAAAGTACATTTTGGAGATGGGAAGTCAGGGCCCATGGGGGGCCATGAATGTGACCGTCTATAACAGAAACAATGATGAATCAAACTGACACCCACAAAATGCCTGAGAAGAAGTAGTTGCCATGAGTAATGGGAAGCATGTTTAATTAACTAAATATGAGGCAGTGGAAGAAGCATTCAAGATTTTAGGGTTGGAAAATTGATTTGTAATCGGGTTCCTTTCAGCAAGAGAGAAGATAGAAATTAGAAGCAAGGTTGTGTAGAATACAATTATTTGACTTTCAGACGTATCTAATTTGAGTCCATCTGGAATACAGCTAATATATATTCACTGTGAGCTGAAGAAACAGTTCTGGGTTATGCAGGGAAAAACTGAGGTATTTTATGTTAGACAGTGCCTATTTTTTGTTTGATGTGAAAAAAATATCATCTGTTGAGAATGAGGGGAAAGATTTGAGTAAACTAAAAAAGGATAAGCAAAGTTTTAACTATTAGATCTAGAAGAAAATATTAAGAATAAATACATTTTACAAAAGATTTTTTTAACTGAAAAGGCGTCAAAGGCTATGTTAATATTGGGCATTCAGAACTTACAGTGGCAATGATCAGCAAATTTATTAAATTTCCCCTTTTTTTGTCAGTGTTAAAGTTGTAGGAAATATGAGATCATAATATTGATTCATGGTTAAAAGTTTATGACCTACATTCAGAAAATCAAAGGTTGCACATGCTTTACTGATTCTACAGAGAATAGTTCAAGTGATAGATTTTAGGGATGAAGTTATGATCAGAAATTGGTCGTTGGACTAGCAAAGAGGTAAGGGATTAGGGACCTGGCACTTAACAATGAAGCAGAAGAGGCTATGACAAAGTTGAAAAGAGAATGCAGTACAGATATCTTCAAAAATTAAAAGTCCAGCTCTGGCTGGTGTGGCTCAATGCACTGAGCACTGGCCTGGGAAATGAAAGGTCACCAGTTCGATTCCAGGTCAGGGCATATTCCTGGCTGGCAGGCCAGGTCTCCAGTTGGGGGCATGTGAGAGGCAACCTATCAATGTTTCTCTCACACATCAATGTTTCTCTCCCTTGCTCCCTCAATTCCCCTTTCTCTAAAAATAAATAAATAGAATATTTAAAAAATTGAAAGTCTAGCATGGAAACAGAAGTAATCATCTTATATTTAAATTGATGATAAGCAGTAATACTGCAATAAGATGTCCCCCCCCCCCAAAAAAGGAAAACCATCCACCACACAAAATGCCTGGTGGATCATTATGTCTTAAAAGTTTAATAAAATACAACTACACGCACAACATTTATATCTATTTACAATTATTTTTTAAATTTTAATATATAAAAAATATTCATTTTTACCATCCTTCCTACATATGATTTTTACTCATGAACAAAAATAACATTTTGTTTTCCTTTTCTTGAGAAGACCTTACTGTTCAGCTGATATATAGTCAAGAATGGTATTGTGGCAATAAATAAAATATGGTGAACTCTAAGAGAGGATAAACAAAGTAGTTGATAGCACCTCTCTATTCAGAAGTAAATTGTGATTCTTTTCAACCAGAAATACATCTTGGGTAGATAACTTAGAATATTCAATAGCAAGGTTCGAGGAAGAAAAACAAATGTATTTTTCAGTTTCTGAGTCAAGGATACCAAGGCCTTGAAAATTTTATTGTTGTCTTATGTTCCTTATTCCCCAGTATATAGGATTAGAAACAGTTCCAGAAAGGACATCGTGCACTTATGTTTTAAACGTAGAGGCCATGGTTTGAAAATGAATCACGGCTTAGTTTATTATTGATGTACGGGGATCACACAGCCTCTCTTGCCATTCCTTTCAAGTAGGTCTGAATGCCCCAAATAAAGGACAAGCTATTATTGCTTAATTTTTTTTCCATTTTGTGACCTGATTTAATTTCTATTCCTTGTAAATTTGTATCTGCTGTGTAGTACTTACTAGAAGCTATTTGAAAAAAAAAAAAAGAGGGTTTGAGATTCGGGTAGCTGGCAATACTACCTAAGTACTTCATGTTCTCTATCCTGTCTGACACAGTAACTCAGACAAACAACATATTAAAAAATGTTCCCCCTTCCTTCTCCAAAGCCAAAGACAGCACTGCTTCATGTAAGATTAAATAAGGGAAACATTGTTATTTTACTGTGCCTAAGGTATGTCAAATCCATGTGAAGCATGAAATGGAGAAGTGGGAAATATTAATTTCTAGACCAAAATAAGCAATTGTCCCATTTAAAAACGTACAGCCCAGAACACTGGAAAGCTCTGACACCATCTTTCAAGGACAAACTAAGTGGTACTGATTCAGAGAAAAACAAGTTTGAGTCTCTCAATTCACAACACAAGGGGAATTATTTTAAGGACTAAAAATATGTTATGATTGGGTAGTTGAAGAGTAGGTTAGGATAAACATTATTTTTTTATATGTTGATGGTATCAAAATACATTATGTGGAAGGTGTATATTTGTTTTTAAAAAGCTTGGACCAAAACGTCTCTAGAAAAAATGTATTACTTTGTTGACAGAAGGAGACACAGCACAATTTATCATAAGGGTTAAAAAAGCGTGGACTCTTCATCAGATTGCCCATGTTTTCTTTATGGCTGAATCATCTATTTTTTAATGATAGGTTTTAAAATTTTTATTTATCTGAGTGCCAGTTATTCAACTTCTCCTCGTCTCCTTATGCTTCTGCCTTTTATTTTATGATGCTCAGTGGCTCCCTCAGGGTTCTCTAGGCCCCTTTCAGGGAATTTGTACAGTCAAAATAATTTCAATGATAATTCTGAGATATCATTTGCTTTTTTCACTCTGATTCTCTCAGGAGGGGATGGTGGCATTTCCAAGAAGCTATATAACATATGATATGGCAACAGAGAAGCAGATACGGTTATTTAGCTGTCTTCTATGAAGCCTAACTTTAAAGACATTGCAATAATGTTAAACAATGCCACTCTTCTCAATATATTTTTATGTCCCTTTTCAAAAAGGTATGTAATTTTTGTTAGCATGCAATGGGCTCCTCGTGGTTATTTTTAGAATTTCTCATATTTAATGTGGCAAATAGCAGTATATACCACCCTCATAAATAAAAGCCCTTTGGGGTCCTCAATAATTTTTAAGAGCAGAAAAGAGACCTAAGATCAAAGAGTGTGGGAAATGCCGCAGTAGACTACATTTCTCCATTGCCAATGAGAAACCATTTAGGTTCACAGGGTACACTACAGGGATTAGAAGCAGGGAAGGAGAAGAAGCTCGTTCCAGACAGCCTCCCTGCACTTCCTGTTAGATCTCTCCAGCAGTCCACCCTCGCAACACGTGTTTTCAGTAGCAATAGGCTCTAGTCTCTGCTTATTACAGAAGGCACAGTGAAGCTCTCCTTACAAGGTCTAGCACAGATCATGCGATGCGCTAAGGGGTCTGACACCCAGGGTTGCAGGTTCCTGAGCTACCAAAGCCAGCCAGGAGGTATCTGCCCCATGGAAGTCAGATGCAAGATCTGCCAGATACCACCCACCCCTCAGAACTTTGCATCACAGCTCAGGGGTCCTTTCTTCCAGCTTCTGGGTTGTTATTACCCCAAGCTGCAGGTACCACGTGGTTCTATCTCTGCATTTCCCCAGTGTCTCTCTTTGTTTTTTCAACTCTTCAACACTTTTTTAAACCAATTTCCTATTTCGCATTCTCTAGTTATATGGTGAGATTTCAGTTTTCCTGACTAGATGGAGAAGGACATAATTAGCAAATGGAATTAATGTGTTACACAACTCTAAAAAGCTATACATAATAAAATAATTAATCATCCCTACAGTGACAAAAAAGTAATTATCTAAGAGAAAAATCAACTATTTTCTGAAATTACAAATATAACAATTTAAAAGTATATTGGTACTTTGCACAATTTATATTAAATATTATGTTTTCTGGACATAACTTTTGTTATTACATTTATATATGTATAGTATCCAATCATTTACAAGAGAACTTTTCCATATTTGATGAAAGTATCTCTTAAAATTATTACTTAAACATAGATTTCCACAATACTGAATGACAGGGGATATAAAGTATACTTTCTCTAATGTTTAGTTATGATTTTGGAGATATTTTAAAAACATTGCACAATCTTAGTATGAAAGTATTAATCCTGCAACAAAGGTAATTTTTAGGCAAATGATTTCTTATGTTACAGAAAACTTAATACTGATTTTCCAAGGTTTTTTTTTCCTGTATATAAGTTTTTAAAGTAAATAATTAAACTTACCACCAGAAAGGAGAGCAGGCTTACTTTTTACATTTGGACTGGAATGAGGAAACCTGTTGCTAAAGGACATGAAAAGGTGCGCTGTGAAATCATCGGGAAGCTCAGCTTCTAAGAAGGTCTTCATAAATAGCTTGAAACCTTCAAAATCTATTGTCTGAAAAAAAAATGAAATATATATTTTAAGACTCAGCAAATGTTAAGATTTGGTACTATGTTCAAAATCATTAGTAATAGAATTGACCTCATTTTTATATCTGCGTATACAAAAGGAAGGTAGCTATTTGAGAACTAGATCACACAGTCATAGGTTACTAACGTTGGTGCTTACATTAACTGCATATGTCTTACCTGTAACAATGTAGGAGGAAGAGGAAGATTTTCCATCAGGCATTTCCACAGTATCTGTATAACCTTAAATATTTACTCTTTGAAACTTGGTTTCCTCCTCTGTAAATTGGGATTGATATTCCCAATTCCACAGAGCTGTTGCAATGATTGAATCAGGCCGCTAAGTGAACATGCCAATGCAGGCTCACGAATACTCCAAAAGAAAGGAATTTTTTCTTATCTCCTTTTCTTATCTCTAATGGTGAATATTGTTTTCAACAACTGGAAAAAAGTTTAACATTAAAGTTTCACCTAACACCAAGATCAATAGATACAAAATTCCAAAGTGAAATTCCAAAATATTGCCTACCCTTACTCACTGGAGGGCTATAAAAGAGTAGAATATTTTCTTTTTGGTGACAACCACTGCTGCTCTGAGAACCTCCACATCTACTTGGGGAAATGGTGATGGAAGATACCTTCTCTTCTCAAGTTAATAAGAGAATTTCGCAGGAGCTACCCAGAGAGCTCGCCTTCTCCAAGAACAGGGCAGTGAGCCAAGATCTGATTCCTGCCTGGGAAATTGAGAGCAAAGGCAAGTACACGGCACTATATTAGGCTTAGCCAGTGCTCCCTGCAACTACAGGGGCAACAATGAGTAACTGTTTCCCTTGAAATACATGTAGACCACATGGAACTGAAGAACAGTGAAGCTGTGCTGGGTTTTATCTAAGAGGTCATTTGGAAGGACAAGGAGACCTACGGAGAAGAAGCTGGAACACAAGCCACATCTATCCAGATCAAGAGAGCGCAAGGATGATAGGCCTCATAGGAAGCCCGTGAAGGGCAAATTTTCCTTACCCGGTCTAATGTAACTGAGATGAAACTAAAAATAGGGCAAAAATAAAATTTGGCAGTTAGAGGCTCATAATTTTGTTCAAACTCCTGGCAGACGATAATAAAAGTAATTCCTTAAACTGATATTTTGGAGAAGAAAGGTCCATTTTTCCTATGTAATAATATTGAGATAAGGTCAAACAGAATGACCAATTTTATTATTATATTAGTTTGAATAAACCTAAAATAGAATATGACATACAGAGATATCATTAGAGAAAGTAAATTTTGTTGATTTGAACGTGTGCAAATTTAGTATATATATTATGTATGCTTTTGCCCCTAAAATAATCTCAAGCTAATAAAAACACAAAGCCAGAAACTGCGCTTTGTTTACATGGTTCTAAGACTGTCTACACATTAATATGACATTTTTGGTTAGTTTAGTCTGCCTTGCTTATTCATTCTCAGAAGGGCACTTCAGACATTTATATTGGTAATCGTAAAAAGACTTCATTTTCTTCCATTTTTAATAAATCACCACTACCATTTATTTTTATAAATTCTACTAGCGGACTGATCACATCACTAAAAACTATGAACAATACATAAGTATAAGAAGAACCTCACATACCAGATGTATTTTCAAAAAGCAATTTGCCAGAATGAATGAAGCCAACATTTTCAAATACACAGATGAAAAAAGGCAACTGCCAGACCACTGTTTACAAATGCCTTCCGTTGGGCACCGGCACCTGTTATTACTAATGGGGTTTCTCAGAGGTGGCCTATGGAAAGAGAACCAATCCACTTTCAGGTGAATGAGTGACCAACAGTAGGAGGTAACATAACCCTCAACATGTGGGACAGCCACAGAAAACCAAGAATTCATTTATTGTAAAGTTATAGGAAGCTTGTGGGATAAACATGTTCAAGGGCATGGTGGTTAGGAGCAAGGTTCTTTACAGTGCCTCTTCCTTCTGCATCCTAAGCCTTTTGTAGTCAGTAATGTGTTGGTTTGAAGTCAGTTTACATGCATCAACTCTTGGACCCAACACTTTCCAGCTGATGGTGGTGGGCCATGTATGGCACCTCTCTTAATAAGCCATCCATTGCTTTTTAGTCCTTGTTTTCGGTTATCAGGAAAGCTTTCTGAATTTCCTCAAGTGATGCAGCTCTCCCTCATTCAGCAAGCAAAAAATAGCTTCTTCGTTTTATTCTTTGACAGCTCTAAGCCTTAATTCTCTGCGTATAAAATCAACCATTCAGAGTTGTGGCCTGAATGTAATAAATCAATGTAAATTGATGTAAAGGGTATTTAATGCACCCTTGGGCCCATAGTATGAAAAATAAATAAAATAAAATGAATATGTAAAAGGAAGTAGTAGTTTATGGTTAGATGGATGTTTTTATTATCTTAATTTGCCTTCCTCTTTATTGTTCAAAAAAACTGGAAAATTAACTGTATCTTCCCACATCAAACCTGCAGTTTTTTCATACCTTAGACATTTTACTAATACTGTTCTGAAGTAGACAATATTGGCAAATTACTACTAACAGAGAGCAAGAATTTAAAAACAGATTGTCTTACTTTAAAAAATAAAAGCCCATTACAGGCATAAGAATGAAATATAAATTTCTTCATTTCTTAAATGATTTCTATAAGATGATGTTATTCTATTTATTTCTAAAGTGTTACTGATGATGTAAACTTCTTTCTTCAAAATCTTTACAGTGATGAGAGGAACAAATTTCCTTTCTCTTACATCTCCTATCATTAAACACAACTTACAATGTTGCAAAACCAATTATTTTTCAAAGTGAATAATATTAGCAGCTTCAGTATTTCCAACTAATTGAGGAATTATTCTTTCCTGGTTAATCTATCTTCTTCTTAGCTCAGTAAAAGGATTTTCAAATCTTCCCTAATATTCTATGTTGTCCAGAATGTCAACCATTTCTGTCTGTACTGCCCTCGATCTATAGATTTTTTTTAATCTCATGATTTAGCAGAACATTTCTAAATTTAGGTATCATGTATTTACTGCTGTCATGGAGCAATATTAGAATTTGTTATTGAAGATTGTGACCTGTACATGAATGAGATCATTTAAATTTATATCAATGGAAACACTAATGAAAAAGCGTTGGGGCACACTTAATAGAATTGGCTGTAAGCTCAGAGACACATATAACAACAATGCCTAAAATTTTGAACAGCCTCTTTATTTTTTCCCCTTCGGAGCATCCAGAGACTATTTAGGGAGATGATATGGAAAATCTGTAAAGAATACAGACTGATGAAGCTGCTCAGATGTTGCTGCCAATTTAGCACAAATTTAAAACACATTTCTATATGCCTTTCATTATTATTGTATATCTGACCATCTGGATCCTTTGTTTTTAAATCCCTGTTAATTCTAAAGAAATAACACTAGTACCCATCCAAGTAGATTCAAAGTGAATGAAAATAAATGCCATCATTCTATCATTACTTTATCTTGGCAGTTTCAGGATGAAGAGTTTCTGGTATTCAGCAAATGTTCTCTGTGCACCCGCTTTGTACTGGGTTCTGCTCTAGGAATTGGGACAAGCTGTTACTGGGATATGTCAACATCTTTCCAACGAGGGCTTATTTTCTAATGAATGGAACAAGAAAATAAAATAAATCGGCTAAATGTACAATAACTGATGGTATTAAGTTTTGTAGAAAAAAAAATAAAGACAACAAAGGTTTACATGTTTCAGGGGGGAGGTGCTTGCAGTTTTAAATCTGATGATCAGGAAATGAGTTTGCTCTTTGAATAAAGATTTAAAAGTGGTATGGCACAGAGCTTTGCACGTATTTGGAGAAAGAACATTCCAGGTAGACAGAAGAAGTAGTACAAATGCCCTGAGGTGTAAAGGTGCCCCTGCTTAGAGGAATTTCCAGAAGAACCAGTGAAGAGAAGTAGGAGACTGGAGCAGGAAGCTGACTGAGGAGAGAGGGAGGACTGGAGTGGTAGGAAAGCAGGTTAAAGGCATGACCTTTGGTGATGTGTGGACTGGGGCAGACCATGAAAGGTATCAAACCATCAACTAAGGAAGAGTGAGACGAACGGTTATTGGAGCATTTGCAGCAGCTAATCACATGATCTGACATACTTATTAATTAGCTGTGAATACAAGTTTGTTCAAAAATGTAAAAACTGAATATGGACTATTTTTTGTTCAATATAGGGGATGTTACTATAGACATATGATCATATTAATTAAATGGTCTTTAAAAGACAAAAATGAATCATTTAACAATTTTAGATTAAGTAACTAACAAAAAACATAAACAAGCAAATTACTTAAACTCATTTTTTCAACAAGTGTTGACTGAGGGCCTACTATGTATGTATACCGTACTATGTTAGCTACTGGGCAAAAGATCTCTTAAGCGAACGAGGTAGGCAATACCACTGCCAGCGGCTTTCTTTCACCATTTCCACTTCAATGTTGTTATAAAATTTATGTAATTAGCTAATTATGTTAAATTAAAAAATGTAGAGGCCATTGAGCCAAAATACATAAATTAATATGTAACAAAGTTCCTGAGATTTCAAATGCACATTTTTGATATTAAAATATTTTCATAAAAAGATGCATTTTAAATGCCTCATTTCTCATGCTTAGCTTGTACTACAATTGATTATTTATAACTTGAAATATCAGAGAGCTGCTTGACAGTCCCCTAAAACTGCCATGGAGAGATTTCCTTTCAGAGAAAGAGTGAAAAGTGTGGACACCTGGAATTTTTAAAGTTAATTCTGGCAAATGAAAACGTTTCTACACCTCCAAAGCACAAAATCAATTAACTGTGGCTTTACTAACAATTATTAAGACTCAGTAGAAAGAAGTGTATTTTTTCAGTAAAAGATTGCAAGTAGCAAGAATAACAAACAATGCTAGTTCAAGTTATTTTTAGTATGTAATTATAAAATGCAAATAATGGATTAGAATAAT